GCAAGTGCACATGCCTTATACCAAAAATCTCTCTAAAAAAGAAAAAGTATCATGGCTGCAGGATAGTCAACACACAAAAGTTCCCATTCTCTACTCCAGTAACAAATAATAAAAAATTTAAAAGACTCCCTATGTATCACCAAAAATTATAAAGTGACTTAGAAATCTATAAAAGATGTACATGGGCTGGCTCTGTGGCATAGTGATAATGTGCTACTCAAGAGAAGCCAATTTTCACACGACAAGTACAGCTTCAATCCATGGCCTGGTCAGCCTGAAACACACTAGGCATGCTTGCAAGTGATCAGGACCCAACGAGCTGGAGGACTGGACGAAGGGAATCATAATGTGATCAACCCTATGGAGGGTGATCACCTCTCTGTTTCTCTTGCTCACGTGCACACACATGCACTCTATCATGAATAAACAAAAATATTTAAAAAGATGTACAAGACCTTCAGTGGGGAAAAGTATTACATTAGTTTGTCAGAAAGTCGTGATATATTTTTCTTTGCAAAAATGAGTCATGACTTTTCCAGCAACTCAATAGAAAATTTTATCTGAAAACATTCAATAAGAAAACCATTGAAAAAGATACTATGAAGGTCATGAATAGTTAGAAGCGTGTCATAAAGATATCAGCCCCCCCCCATGTCCTCACCCAATGCATTTCCAAGAAAAATTCAAAATTATCTTTTTGTAGAACTTGACCTATGGATGCTAAAATTTATATGAAAGAGTAGAGTGCCCAAAACTTTATATAAAACCAGCCTAACTTGGGACCAGCAGTTAGCGTAATGCCTATATCACTGGACTCCCACATAGTCAACCGCGGTTCGCGTCCCAGACCTGGTGGTTTAAAACTCAAGCTGGGCGCATGTGTGTGCTTGCCTAAGACCCAGAGAGGAGACTGGAGGAGAAAGGATTGCGGCATGGCCATCCCCCCTGGGGGGTGATTTCTCGCTTTCTGTCTTCTGCTCTGTCCCGCGAGGCCCCGCCCCCTATAGCAAAAACCTCTAAAAAAAAAAAAAAAAAACAGCCTAACTAGATGCCTAGCTGCTTACTTGACTTCTCCACTGTTACCTCAAAGGCAATGTGTCCAAAAACTGAACTTCTGTTTCCTTACACTCTACCAAACCTATTCCACTTACAGTTTTCCAGTTATTTGAGCCCAAAGTCTTGGTTATTCTTGACTTTTCACTTCACATGTAGAAGCTATCAGTTCTTATTGACTCTACCTTCAAAATACATTCAGAGTCTATTCTCACTACTTCTACTGCTACCACTTGGGTTGAGACACCCATAACGACTCCCCTGGATTATTTTTACACTAAGGATCTTGCTTCCATCCTTGCTCATCTATTGCCTATTTTCAACATCGTCACAATAATGATTCTTTCAAAATGTGGGTCAGATGATGTCAGTACTCTGCTCAAAACTCATCAGCAATTCTCTGTTTCACTCCCACTTACGGCAAATGCCTTTGTATACAACCTGATACCTCTGGCCTCTTTCTACTCCAGCCACATTGCCCTCCTTGCTGTTCCTCCTGCCTGCCATGGAAGTGATTCCTTAGAGCCTTTGCAGGGGGAGTTTTTCCCCTAGTGATCTTCCCAGCCAACTTCCTCACCTTCTTCAAGTTTTTACTCAAATGTCATCTCCTTAAGGAGACCTGCCCTGACCACTCTATTTACAACTGTAGGTCACCTCCTCCATCCCCACATTCCTAAGACCTACCTCCTTTTGCTCTACTATTTGAAAGTAGCACTCATCACCTACCATCTTTCAGTAGACCATATAAATCGCATATTCTATGCATTTAATATCTGTCATCCCCTACTAGAATGTAACACAAGAATGGAGATTTTGGGAACCAGCAGTTAGCGTAATGGCTATGTTGCTGGACTCCCACGTAGTCGACTGTGGTTCGCGTCCCAGACCCAGTGGCTTAAAACTCACGCCGGGCACGTGTGCGTGCGTGCCCAAGATCCCGAGAGGAGAATAGAGGAGAAGGGATTGCGGCGTGACCATCCCCCCTGGGGGATGATTTCTCACTTTCTGTCTCTATGTCTCTCTCTGTCTGTCTGGCGAGCGCACGCGCCCTATAGCAAAAATCTCTCCAAAAAAAAAAGAATGGAGATTTTGTTTGTTTTGTTGACTGGTATTTCTCAAGAACCTGCAAAGTGCCCAGCTCTTATGGGACATTAAATAAACATTTGAATGATGAATGTGAAGGATAGGATGAAATGAAATTGGGAAAGTTACAAGAGGTTTCAAATGTTTTATTTTTAAAATTGGTTCATAAATGTTCTTTTTTAAAAAATTTTTTTACATATACATGTGTATATGTACATTGGTTTATAATCAATGCACAATAAAACAGAAAAAAAAAGAAAAAAACAAAAACTCTTCTCTGTCTACATTGACTGGTTTCCTAATAACTGGCCACTGAGGTTTTCACTGTACCTAGTATGTGATTGTGGATGAAAGGAGGACATACATAGTTTCATTGACTCTTCCTTCTTACTCCTTGAGACAAGCAATACATGGCACTGGCAATCTGTCAGGGGACAGCTACCAGGAAAAGAAAATGCTTTGAAAGAGGTCTCAAAAGAACATCCTAGACTTAGAAAATAAAACAGAGCAGTGTAAAAAAAAAAAAAAAAAAAAAAAAGAAAGAAAGAAAATAAATAAGAAGAGGGAAAGGTGCTCGCTACTTTTTATTTATTTATTTATTTAGGAGAGGTTTTTGCTATAGGGTGTGTGTGCTTGCCAGAAAGAGAGAGAGAGAGAGACAGAGAGACAGAAAGTGAGAAATCAACCCCCCCAGGGGGGGGATGGCCATGCCACAATCTCCTCTCCTCCATTTTCCTCTTGGGATCTTGAGCACACACGCACATGCGCCCAGCATGAGCTTAAGTCACCGGGTCTGGGACTCGAATTGCGGTCGACTTTCCCTGTTGGCCCAGCATGACTGCAGAGGAGACCTCTGTCACCAGCGCTGAGCGGGAACTAATGCACCAATGCCAATATCAGTCTGTATTTTCAGCTGAGCCATTATAATTTTTTTTAAGAATTATTTTATTTTATTATTATTATAATTTTAATTTTGTTATAGGGCATGGGAGTCCAGTGATGTAGCCATTACGCCATCTGCTGGTCCTGAAAGTGTTCACTGTTCTGAAGCTGCATTGGTTAACCACCCCTCCATGCCCCACTCACCCACTCCACCTTCACCCTTCCACCCCTCCACCCCTGTACATTTCCTACCATCCAGGACTTTTAAAACAATTTAAAGAAACCTATTGTTCAGTACATTTTTATTTTTATTTTTAGAGAGAAATTGTTGCTATAGAGTCTGTGCGCTTGCAGGAAAGACAAACTGAAAGTGTCATCCCCGGGGAATGGTCACACCACAATCCCTTCTCCTCCGTTCTCCTCTCAAGTGTTTGGGCACACATGCACACGCGCCCAGCATAAGTTTTAAGCCACTGGGTACAGGACTTGAATTGCAGTCAACTACGTGGGAGTCCAGCAACATAATCATTATGCCATCTGCTGGTCCAAGCTCAGTACATCTTTTGAACATTCACTTTTTT